GGCCACAAACTTCCAAACCTTCTTAAAAGATCAACAGTGGAATCAGAGATAGGAGAATTACACTGGTTACATCCCTGCTTGAAAAATGGGAAAGGGATAAAAATGGTAGCCACAGGCCAATCAGATTATTGTCAATTGTAGAGAACTATTCAGAGATAAAATTGAATATGAAATGGAAAAATGTGGAAAGAAGCATGGATGAAAATCATGTTTTACGAAACTGATTAAGCTGTTTGAAGATGTAGCAGAATGAAGATTGAGGGTAGTGAAGTTGATGTTGCATTTATAGACATTCAAATATAATCTGTTAAAAGTGCCACAAAGTAAATTTATTGACAAGATTAAAGCTTATAGGATTAAGAGGGCAAAGGCTGTATGGATATCAAATTGGTTAATGGATGGGCAGCAAAAAAAAAAGTGGTGAAGGCTTGTCTCAGAATGAAATGAAATGTCCAGTGTTATCCCTGAGGGGATTGCCCCATCACTAGGACTGTTACCTTTTCTGATATCAATGACCTGGGATTAGGGTATATTGGAACAATCTTAATGTTTGCAAAGGCACAAAACTCAAAAATGTTGCAAACAGTGAGGAAAAGGAGGACACAGGTAGATAAATGGCAAAGTGAAGGGACAAAAGAAAACCAAAATTATACAATTTTAAAGGTGCTGCAGGAACAGAGAAACTTTGGAGTTCGCACATACAAATCTTTGGAAGTAGCATGCATTATGGTGCCAGCTGATGTTATTACTGGACAAATCAGATCTGCAGAAGGAAGAACACTTTTACAAGGCCTTTACCAGGAATGGATACCTCCGTAGCTTCATTCACAGATGCCGAGCCAACAGACGACACAACCAGGCCACAACAAAACCCAAAACAATAACCACCAGACCATATATAAAAAAAACACCTCAGAACTGACAGCCAGACTACTTTCACCACGAGAAATCATACAGCACACAAACCGGCAGCCACACTAAGACAGCAACTGACCAGGGTTAAAGACCCAAAAGATAACATTGACAGGACAAATGTAGTTTACAAGACACCATGTGGAGACTGCACAAAACACTATGTGGGACCAACAGGCAGACAACTAGCAACCTGCATCCATGAACACCAGCTAGCAACTAAATGACACGACCAGATGTCCTTGGTTTCAATGCATACACTTGAGAAAAACCACACTTTCAACTGGGACACCACTACAATCAGTGGACAACCAGGGAATTCTTGGAGGCTTGGCATTCATCCACAGACTCCATCAACAAACACATTGAATTAGACCCGATATACCGACCATGACAATGTACACCGGAACAGGCACCTACCAGAAGCAGCAAAAACCGGACCACGTAAATTTGAACGGGCACAAAACAACAGCGCTTCATTGGAGGCTCCACAGCACTGAGGATGTCACCTAGTAAGGGGACGAAATGTCTGCTATCAAACCTCCCAGCTCGGCGAACACACTAACATCTACAACCAGCACCCAAGCTACAAATCTTCACTCAAACCCTGAAGAATTATTAAATCCAGCATTTAATAAGTAATCAGCTTTCAGTAACTTCAGGGTTTTATCACAACACTTATAGTCTGGGACTAACACTAACTCCTTACTCTAAGAATGTATATCCCGTTACAGCCTTCCCTAATTAGGAACACTGGTCTTTGTAGCCATCCCTCATCCATGGATTTCACAGGATTACTCAAAACTCAAATGAAAATGAAAAAAAAATCTCTGTAAGCTACGTGTGCTTCCCTTAAGCTTAAAAAAAACAAAAATCTATCAGTGCTACATAAAAACTCATTAATCCTAAAGTTAGGCCTCAAAAACTGTTTGAAAAAAAATCACCACAGGTACAGCAATACTTACAAGTTAATTATTGCCTTCGGACGTACAGAAAACTTATATTACTAACTCAAAAATCAAGAAACCTAAAATTTCAATAAATGATAGTTAATATATGGGTATATAAATCGTACAGGTCAAGATGGAAAGACTGTGAGAAAAGCATATAAAGTCACAGGCTTTATAAGTGAAAGCATGGAGTACAAAAGCAAGGAAGTTAAAGTTTTTAAAATATTGTCAGGCCCATCTCTAATTCTCATTAGGAAAGATGTTGAGGCTTCAGAGAAGATTTGGAGGAGGTTTTCTGAAGTGATATCAAGGACAAGAGACTTCAGTTCCATGGGACATTCTATTCACTGAGGGGCCTATTTATGCACCCCTCATTCCCTTTGTCCCCAACACTGCCTCACCCCGACCCTGATTTTTACTGCTGCAGGGCAGACTCAATTTTGGACCAACTCTCATCCAGGGAAATGAGCAGCACATACACACAATTGTTAAATCCAGCCTACTGGATGCTATGGGTACAGAATACAGCAAGCAATATGGGAACAGTGCAGAAAGCTGGACTTGGGGTCAGCCATGTCCTCATTCAATGATGGAGCTGCCCAAAGCATTAAATGGTCTACTACAGCTATTTCTTATGTTGGAAGATGGAATGGGAATTGAGCTAAGCCAATATGCTGCCTTTTTTTGGCACAGAAAAGAATATAATGTGAGCCTTTTAAGAACATGGGTGGATAATGCATTTGTGAAGCCAGTGGTTATAAGAGGGTTCGACAAATCACTTTCTTTGAGTCAGTCAGCATGCTTTTTCTGTTTGCTGAGAAATCCTGTCACTTTTTGTGGTTATGCAGCACGCAGAAGGTATGGGAACAGATGTAGGTCATGTGGCCCTTGAAGACTGAGCATAGCAGTCAAGGCTCATAATAGACATTTTTTATTTGTTCATGAGATGTGAGCATCATTGGCTAGATTAGCATCTTTGGTTTGTTCATAATTGCCCAGAAGACACTTAAGACTCAAACCACATTGCCTTGGGTCTAGAGTCACAGACGAATTAAGGACAGCAGATTTTCTTCCCTAAAAGGCATTAGTGAGACAGATGAGTTGTGAACAACAATTGACAGTGGTTACAGAATTTCCTTTCAAATAAGCCTGTTCAGGCATGAGTGGCATGTCTGGGGCTGGTGGGACTTGAAGCCTTCTAGCCCAAAGTTATGGTAACTACTACTGCATCACAAAAGCCCTTGACAGTAGTTATATGGTCACCATTAGGCTAGTTTTGTAATCCCAGATTATCATGAAATTTGGATTTCACCATCTGTCATGGTGGGAAACAAACCTCGTGTTCCCAGAACATTTTAGCCTGGAGTTGTGGATTACTAATCCAATGACATTACTCGTATGCAACTGTCTCCCCATAGAGGGAATCACTGCCAATTAGAAAAGTCTATCTCATTGGATCATAAGAAGTAATGAAGCATATAATCAACAGCAATAATTGTAGGAAATGAATGTCATTCCAATTGTTGGCTCTGGCAATGCACTAAAGATGCCAAGTGTGACCTCCGTAGTGTTCTGTAGACTGGGAGAAATTTCAAACATCTCTTTGGCATCAAGTGAATGGAGTTTTCAAATATTCCATGGAGCCCTCAAGTTGAGATTTGACAGAGGAAATTAAATATTTTTCAGTCATCCATCTGAGAGAATGTTTGTGGTTAGCAGATCAATTCAAAGACTGTTTCCTGTTAAAGATATCTGAGTCATTTCTCCTCACTGCTTGAGAACTGTCTTGCCAAATTAACTCCAAAAGAGCTGCTATAAGTGCTCAGGGTTGTTACTGTAGAACTGAAAAGGAACATATGCACATATGAAATAGGAACGGGAGTGGGCTATTCAGCCCCTCAAGTCCACTTTGCCATTTGTTAAAATCATGGAAGGTCTGATTATGGCCCCAACTCTTCTTTCTTCTTTATCCCCTAATCCTTTTGCTTTGCTTACATATTAGAATAAAGCATTTGAATTCCATTCAATTCATACATTGTTTTATACATTTTTTACTCATTTTATATCTGTTCTCTTTAGAAGTCTCTTGAGTGCTCATTTCTTCCCACAACACTCCTGACTTCACTGTGCACACATAAACATTAAAATGTACATATTGAAACACACTCAAACTAGCACATATATGTATACACATATACACAAGCACATGTATGTAGTACACATTCACTTTTCGGTACTTGATCTTATGAATACATTCTTTAACCTCTCGGCCATACACTGGCAGAGGTATAATTTCAAATTACCTACTTATCTCTCTGTTCAAGATTTGGAACATGGCCTGAACAGCCTTGAAAGGTAAAGGGGAAGGAGAGTATCTGAGAGAAAAGGGAAAAGGAATATTTACCCAAAAAAAAAGACGGAATTGGATTCACTCAGATTTCTAAACAAATAACCAAATATAACCAGGCAAGTGGTCTGACTGGATGAACAACCATGGGTTTATATTGCACAGAAGGAGGTTTTCAATCCATCAAAACTGTGTCAGCCATTTGAAACAGCTGATCATGTCCACTTTTTCTCCACAAGACTGGAAAACTTCCTTGCAAATTCCCTTCTGAAAATCACAATTGAATCTGCTTCCAATGTCTTTGCAGGGAGTGCATTTCAGATCAAACCAGCTCACTGCTAAAAAGACAAATCCTCCTCCTGATTCTTTTGGAGATCTTAAACCCAGGTCCCTTGTCTAGTGACCCAAATACGTGTAGAAAAAGTCTTTCATCATTTATTGTGTCAAAACTCTTTGTGATTTTAAACACCTCCATTAAATCTTCCTTTTTCTGCTCTAAAGAATTCCAACTTCTCAAAACTCTGTACATAACTAAAGTTATCAACCCCAATCCTACACTGATAAAATCCTTCTGCACTATCCAAGAATAATATCTACACTTTCTGCTCTGACGCTAATTGAAACTCACATGCATCAATTAGTAATTGATGTAGCTAAAGTGTTAGTTTCTCAGAAGTACAAAGAAGGCAAAGTCGCTTAGCTACGGAAGTCCACAGTACAGTTTCTGGTTTTAGTCATCCTGCTTTACAAATGGAAAAGGTTTTCAAATGCAAGTTTGCAAAACTACCTACCTGCCAAAGCAGAAGAACGCAAAGTGAAGACCCAAGAGGGTGGCTACCACATGCCTGATGATATGGTTGGTCTTGCTCGGATGGAGGTAGTTACGAAATAAAAAAGCTGCGAACAATCCAAACAGTTGGCACATTGCAAAATTTACCTTTAAAAAGAAAATTACATTTGAAGTGTTACAGAATGGAATGGTCTAGAATAACAACTTAGAATTATCTCCGTGTCTTTAATGCAGTAAAAGACCAATGAGCTTCACAGTAACAGTGGATTCGGATAGGTGAAGAAACGTTTGACAAGAAAAGTAGGCTTACAGGCCTATTTTGAAAGGAAGAAGCAACAGGTAAAGAGGTAGAGGGAATTCCAGAGTTTACAGTCCAGGCAGATGAGGAACAAACACTAATGACAAGTGACAAAAATTGGGAATGCACAAGAGGTCAGAATGGAGCAATATAATGAGCTTTGATTTAGTTAATTTGATTTGATTTATTTATTGTCACATGTATTTTGTTACAAAACACAGTAATAGGTTTTCAAATAGAGGAAGTTACTGAGGCAGGGAGGAGCAAGACCATGGAAGCATTTTGAAAATATTGATGAAAATGTTCCAACTGAGCTATTGACTGACCAGGAGACTGTGTAGATCAGTGAGCAAAGAAAATGATGGGCACATATCAACATCTTAGCAAAAACACTCTGTCCTTACTCTGTAAAACCTCCCAGTCTAGGGAGTGAGTTTGACTCAATGTCAAAAAATTTGCTTGATACAGCTCCTTAGAAGGGCCTTGTGTCATTTTTATAATGTGAAAGGCGCAAGGTAGACGCAAGCTGATGTTATTGTCTTTCATGTGATTCCAATAAACTAGTAAGTATGTTTAATTCCCATTTTATGGGATGGAAAATGTTACCCATTTAATTTCTAATCAGCCTCCAAGTGTTACATAACATTAATATTTCTCAATAGTCTCCTCTTTCAGATAACTGTATTGCAACACTAGTATGTTGTCACAATATAGTGACAGTGATTCATTATCTCCTCTGCAGTGCTCGCATTACAGGAGCACTCACATGTCAGCTCAAAAGATGGACAAACATGAAGATATGAATATATACTACACACAAAATTATTGTATATAAACACAAAAATATATATTTGCACAGTTGTACAATATATAAAAATATGTAACTTGTTTCACTACCTCCTAATAAATGTATTGCAATAGGTATCTGCATGGGATCTGGACTTTCTATTGGATTTAAGAAATATTCATGGATTAGATTTATTTGGGTCCTCTCTCACCTCCCTTCCCAGTAAAATCAATAATTCTCGGTTTAATTTTTTTTCTTTTTGTCCTGAACTTAAAAAGCTCTTCAACGTGGCTTCCAATTTTCACCCTTCTTTCATCTTTGCATGGATCAACTATGAGTTTTCCCTTCCCTTTCTCAATGTCTTTGTCTCCAAACTTGGGAATAGCAAATCAACTAATATTCATTTTAACCACACTTCCTGACGTTAAAAACAAAAATGCTGATTATATTCAGCAAGGCAGGCAGCATCTGGGGAGACAAGTCAATGTGGCCTGATGAAAGACCTTCAACCTGAAACATTCTGTTTGTCTCTACAAATGTTGCCAAACCTGAATAGTATTTATTTCAGATTTCCAGCTATTTTTCTTTTGTGTTACACTTTCCTCACACCGTGCCTCATGCCAGGACTTCAAACCATTCTCCCAGTTTCCTCATCTTCACCACAATTTCTGTGAATGCAAAATGTAACACTTGTCCTTTCACCTCCTCTGACCTCACCAGCTGAGGACCCAGACACACCTTCCAGGTGAAGCAGCAATTCATTCAATTTATGGTAGTTAAGCCACGGCAGTTCTAGTTGCAACACTGTCCGGACGTGATAGCACTAGCGAGGGTACAGAAGAGATTGCCTAGGTTGGAACAATTCAGATCTGAAGAGAGACTAGATGGGCTGGGGTTGTATTCCAGAGCACCTTGCTCTCACACTGACGTCACTGTCCTCCTGCGACTGTAGTGTTCAATGAAGCTCAACACAAACCCAAATAAAAGCAAAATACTGTGGATGCTGGAAATCTGAGACAAAAACAGAAAATACTGGAAAAACTCAGCAGGTCAGGTAGCTAACATCTGTGGAAAGAAAAAAAAGGTTAAATTTTTGAGTCTGATGTGACTCTTTAGCCTTCTGGACCACTTTACTAATGGTAATCTCTGCCCCTCATTTCTACATCCTTCTTTCCATGTTTCAGTCTCAATCTTGGGTTTAGCTGTTGGACTGTTGATTATTCAGCTGTTCATTACTCTGCTATCCACAGCTTCTCTGAATCTTTTCTTTCTTTACCACTTCCTTTGCCTCTGTATTGTCAACATTTTTGTCATTTGATATCTTCCATCTTCTGCCCTATTACATACCTTTCCTGTTGTTCCTTTTCCCATATTTCATCATTTGACAGGGTTAAAACCTATTGTATTTCTAAGATTTCCTTCATTGTGATGAACGTTCATTGACTTTTATTTCATTCCTTCATGGGATGTGGGTGTTATATAATTCCAGGATAAACCCAAGTGTTTGCTAAAGCTCAGATGATATTCTAAAGCCTCTCACACTCAAAACCCTCATTATGTAACTGATGAAGAATTTACACAAATTATACAATTTCCCTCATTGTGACTGTACCTTGAATCTCAAATATTCTAACTTAAATATGTTGGACACAAAGTGTATGAAGTGTGTTGACATCACAACAGCATCCCAAAGTAAAATGAGAACACAAAAGGAAACAATTGGTTTTAATCTTTCTCCATCTTTATTTTCCTTCCTTAACACTGCGAGAGTTTAATACCTGTATAAAGAGACTGAATAAAAGTATTCAAAATTGTGGGGTGGTTTGATAGAGCAAGTAGGGAGAAAGTGTATCTTCAGGCAAGTGGATTCACAATTGGAGGTCACAGATATCACCTAAATAGCAACAATGCTAGAGTGGAAATGAGAGAAATATTTCATTCACACAGAAGGCTGTTTCGATCTGGAATGCAATACTTGAAAGTGTGGTGGAATCATATTCCATAGTCACTTTCAATAGGCAAGTGGGTATACTTTGAAATAGAACCAAGTTACAGAGTTCTGATGTGAAAGCTGGGGCATAGGACTAAATTGGACAACTCTTTCAAAGATCCAGCACAGACACATTGGTTTCAGTGATAGACTCCTATCATTCTGGAAGGCATAACACTCTGGGGAACCAAGGGTATGGAGAGATTGAGGAATTTAAAAATGTCTGTGTTATTAAACAAACAGCAGTGGAAAAAAGATATTAAGGAGACGTCAATAAATTCCCTGGCCCTGTTGGCCTTTACCCTTAGCTGTAAATATAGTGAATGTATTGGTTTTGATCATCTAGAACTCCCTCAATTCTACAGTGTCCCAGTGTAACCTTGCTATTCGAGAAAGGAAATAATGAGCAAAGAGAAAATTACAGACCAATTTGCCTGAGGTCAGTCTTAGAGAAAATGTTATATCTATTCTGAGAGATGTGATAACAGGACACTTAGAAAATCATAATATGATTCAGCAGGGTCAGCATGGATTTATGAAAGGTAAGTCATCTGTTAAGAATTCTTTTGAGGTTGTAACAGAATGGATCAAGCAAACCAATTGATGTAGCATACTGGACTTTCAAAAAGAGTTCTGTAAGGTCCTACATAAAAGAGGTTATTATGTTAGAGCCCTTAGGATAAGAGTAATAAATTAGCATAGTTGGGAAAGCGATGGCCTAGTGGTATTATTGTTAGACAATTAATCCAGAAACCCAAGTATTGCTCTGGGGACCTGGGTTTGAATCCTGCCACAGCAGATGGTGAAATTTTACTTCAATTGAAAAAGGCTCTGGAATTAAGAATCAACAGATGATGACGAAGTCATCATTGATTATCAGAAAAATTCATCTGGTTATCTAATCAGAGATAGTAAGAACTGCCGATGCTGGAGTCAGAGATAACAGAGTGTGAATCGGGACCCGAAACGTCAGCTTTCCTGCTCTTCTGATGCTGCCTGGCCTGCTGTGTTCCTCCAGCTCCACACTGTGTTATCTCTGGTTATCTGATGTTCTTCAGGGAAGGGAATTTGCCATCCTCACCTGGCCTGGTCTACATGTGACTCCAAAGCCACAGCAATGTGGTTGAGTCTCAATTGCCCTCTGAAAAGCCCTAGCAAGTGAATCAGTTGTACCAATCGCTACAAAGTCTCAAAGAAATGAAACCAGACGGATCACCTGGTATCGAACTAGGCACCAGAAGAGACAACAGCAGAAACCCTGCAAAGCCCTCCTCACTACCATTTGGGAGCTAATGCCAAAACTGGGAGAGCCGTCTCAGACTACTCAAGCAACAGCCTGACTTTGTCTATAAAGGTATGATTCCATGAATATGGAATACATCACACCGACAGGACAGATCCAGCAGAGGTATACAGTTGGGAGGAAGTTGTCCTGGGAGTCCTCAGCATTGACTTCAGACCCCATTATGTCTCATGGCTTCAGGTTAAACACAAGCAATGAAACCTCCTGCTGATTACCATGTATCATCCTCCTTCAGCTGATAAATCAGTACTCCTCCATGTTGAGCAACACTTGGAGGAAGCACTGAAGATGGCAAGGGCACAACATGTACTCTGGGTACAGGATTTCCATGAAAAAAAACGAAAGAACTGCGGATGCTGTAAATCAGGAACAAAAACAAAGTTGCTGGAAAAGCTCAGCAGGTCTGGCAGCATCTGTGAAAGGAAAAAACAGAGTTAATGTTTCGGGTCCAGTGACCCTTTTCAATGTTTCAATGGTGGATTTCAATGTCTACTAAGGGTGGTTCAGCAGCTGTACTACTAATCGAGCTGGTCGGATCCTAAAAGACATAGCTGATGGACTGGGTCTGTGGCAGGTGGTGAGGGAAGAGCCCAGCACATCAGTGCAAGAGATAAGGCTGACGCTTTTACAGCAATCTTTAGCCAGAAGCGGAGTGGATGATCCACCTCAGCCTCCTCCAGTGGTGACCAGCATCACAGATAGCAGCCTTCAGCCAATTCAATTCCCTCCACGTGATATCAAGAAATGGTTGAAGACACTGGATACTGCA